CGGTTTCAGACATTTCTCTATTGGTTTTCTCTGATAAGGTGCAGCTGGGAAGGTCTCCACTCAGTCTTTTTTTTTTTTTTTTTTTTTTTTTTTTTTTTCTTTTAAGCTCATATATTCAGGCATCAGTTAATCCTTTTTTATTAGTTGAAATTAAGATGCATTTATTAAAGGAAGCATGGTGAGAGGGAGAAAGAGCTTACTGTGGAAATGGAAAGATTCAAACTTTTATAGGATTGGTACAACAAATATATCTGAACACTCGTAAGAAACAGTTTGAAAAATATCTAAGATCGAGACCGCAGCTCTTCGGCTGTAACATGGTTGACGGGCCCTAAGCATTTGCTTATTTTCTGAAAGCCTCCACTTCGAAAGCTTGCAAATTTCCTTCTCACAAATTCAGTTATGCTTTTTTCACTTAACATCAGAACTTGACTTTCTGACTCCTTCTTTATACTTTGATGCAGTGTCCTTAAAAAATATTCAGTGGTACTCTCATCTTGTGAACCTCTGTGTTACACTTTTCTTTTTTATAAATGAAGTCAGTTCATTTTCTCTGACCCAACTCTTCTTGAGTTTCTTTGTCCCAGCGGTCCTCCTGTCAGCATCTGACCCATTTTCACGAGTAGTTTCCTGTTGTCCGTGGGGGCCCATATGCCATCTTTCACCTCTGCTTTAAGCAGCAATTCCTGCACACTTTCATTTACAATGCAGTGAGACACTGAGATTGTTTTGCCGCTACATAAATGTACTGAGTCCATTCTTCCTCTGGAAAGCAATCTGAGAAAATCTGTATTGGCCACATGGGAACAATCTCTGGCATATTCTCTCACCATTTATTTTTTAGTGTTAGATACCTCTTCAGTGGAGATACTGTATGGTCAATCATAAAACCCACACAAAAAATAAGTATTTGCAGGAAAGCAGAAAATATTGTGAAATGATTTAAAATGAGTGAGTACGTGAAAGGTACCCTCATTTCCTAGCTGAAATTAACATTTTGTGGCTTCTTAGATGTACACTGGCCAGAAATGATATTGCTGTATTTGTTTAGTTTTCTGAGTTGAAATTCTACATACTGAAGTTGAGCATGTTTTCTCTAAATTTCCAGGGCATGAAAGAACCTCATGATTCCTACCGGTTAGTTTTCTTTATATATTTATGTGGTCTTCTTTAACTCTGCAAGCATATTATTTTGAATTTTTTACGTTTCTGCCTTATTTGGACCTCCCATATTAAGACCTCAATGTAAAAGGTCAGAACAAATGAAAAAACCAAAGAAAATGAATGTAAGAACGTTTCATTCCTGTCACAGTCATTCAAAGGAAATAACCACCAAGGGAAAGGGCAAAGGGAAGTTTACCAAAAAGCTGCACAAAATGATCATCGGTTAGAGGACTTGTATTCCCAGAGCCAGCTTTCATCTTCGAAGACATTGTAAACAGGTAGATTGCTCAGAGATTTTATTATTATTCACAGTTTAAAACTGCAGTGTATTGCAGTTTCAACTGGTTATTGTATGAGAGCTAAAGTATCCGGGGGATGGGAAGATTCCACTTACAGTGTTGTCCAATCTCTTCTTACTGAACTCTGGAAGCCGTGAGACATCACAGTTGGCCACGTATTGCTCTACAGTACTTGATAGCTACTCAGGGCTCTGGGGACACCTGAAGTTCATGTGATGATATCTTCCCCATCAAAGGTTTCTTCATGACCAGCACACCTGCCCTGCTCAACTAAGTATGACACAAAGTAGAAAGGACATTTCATGTCACACAGCACATTTCCACTTGCTGTGTGTGCTTCTGCAAGGGAAAATCCTTGTGAAGGTCTGCTCCTCTTTTTTGGTCTTGTGGTTTGTTCTACTTTTCTCTTTGTCTGTGTTTTTCTAAACCAACGTGTTTATCACCACCAACAAATTATATTTTGATTCCAGTTTACAAGGGAATTACTCAAATATTCACTGATACTTACGCATCCTTTCTCCAAGAGAAATAACTTGGGCAAATATATAAGGGCAAGCACCAATTACATTGAAAAACGTTGAATACGAATGTTTCTCTTGTTATTTCTTCTAAGAAGTTGCATTCTGGGAGAATAGGTGAAATTTGTAGTAAATTTAGTGTTAATCGTTTATTTTTTCTTGCTTGTTTGAAAATTGTTGCTTTGTTAAAATGGTTACAAATTCTAAGATACTCATCAAAATGTTCCTTGATCAGGAGTCCAGTGTGAATTTTCCTTTTTCCTTTTCTTTTCCTTTCTGGTGGAACAGAAGCATGTCTCTAATGTGCTTAATGATGTGGGGTGCACCCAGGAAGCCAGTGTCTCACGGGTAGCTGTTAGAGAGGCAGAGGAGCAAAACAGGTTGCAAGGTTACCCCTGCTTCCGAAAGCCTCATTACCGCAGGTCTACTCAGCTTCCCTTGTCTTCTCTCCAATGTGATTATACTCAGCTAAGTTCCTTATGACCCACTGCTTTGCTCGAACATCTACATGATCTTGTCACCATTCTAATAGAACACAATGCCATCCCTAATAGAGCCCTTCTCTCACATTGGTGTGTTTTTCTAAATACCACTTTGGTCAGTCTGTTTCTGTTGCCTGGGATGAAGGGAGTTCTACCCTTCCAAATTTGCCCAGGGAGAGGATTGGGCTCCCTAACAGGCGTAAGAGGAATTTATTCAGTTTAAGTCCCAGTTGCCTATAATTTCCAGATGGCAATGTATGGTTAAATTAGCTTTTGCTAGTGTTAAAAACAGAACGAGAAAACTTCATACCAAAAATCCACAAAGATCTCATCAGCAATCACAGGGCACTCCTAGCAAGTAGCAGCGGGAGGGTACCACCTGCCAGTCCCTTCAAAAAGAGAAACTCATGGAGAGAAACATGAAATCAGCAGCTGTTTTCAAGGGTGAAGTTGCTCGAATGTTCTTCCTGAATCTGGACAGTTTTTACAATCCTAAGGAATCTGGTTTTCATACTGTGGTGAATTCTTGAATAAATTTTATTCTTAGGTTGGCTAGAAAAGCTGCTTGTTCAAATTCATTTCCTTCTGAAGTAAGCAGAGGGCTGGAACTACCTGCGCCTGTGTCTTGACTGGCACCATCTGTCCAAGCTTGGCGAGTCTGATAATGGTGTCGCTGCTTAGCTATTACTGAGAGGAAGGAGGGAGTGGGAGATGGCAGACAGATAACAAAGCTGACGTCCAGAGGTCTCTGTCTTTTAGTTATAGGGATACTGTTGGTTACTTATTTTTATTCTTCATGGCTGTTCTTTTCTCAGTGTAACAAAAAGAAACTATTTCTAACATCTATTTAGAGCAGTTAGAATGTGAAATCAGACTCCCCTGAGGAGGAATCAGACATAGCAGACAGTGTGAACTATGAGCCCCACCACAGGCTTAGACAGAAAAAGATCAAATATCTGTGACATATGGTGGGAGGATTTTCAGGCTCTGATATTAGACGTGTTAGCAAGGAGGGGTGCCCCTTACAAGAAATGCGAGAAAAAAATTTTTTACAGATAATTTGTCATACATGTTTCTGAGCTTCAAAATCTCTTTTGTTAAGTAAAAATACAAGTTTTGCTTTAGATGCACAGGAAAAGTGGAAAATAAAATCAGTAATCGCATTAGTAACATCACTGTACTTTCAAATAAATGAAAGTAAAGTACAAATTAAGGTAAGCGAAAGTGAAACAGATTAGGCAGCATGATGTACAATGTTTTGGTAAATTTACACATAGAATCAGGATGACTGTTTATGCACATTATCTACCTTAGTGGCTATATTTTAAGGTTATTAAAGGCACACTGGCTGCATATATCAACTTATAATAACCCATAATCCTCAGTAAGTTATAGGAGAATGTTTAAACCTGATACAATTGCTGCAGCCTGAGGTCAGAGAGCTCACAGTGGCTCATTCTGTCAAGGAGACACTGCAACATGGTCAAGGAATCAGAGCTTTGTTTTTCTCAGATATGTCTTATAAGAGCTCAAGGTGTAACATCTTCAGATGGCTTTGGTTTTTCTTGTTGTTTTGCTGTTGGTTTTATTCTTTTGGAAGAAATACACAAAAAGTAAAAATCTAAGATTTTTCCCTTTTTTCTTAAAATTCTAAATACAGTTAAAACTGTGAATCTAGAGAAGTGTTTATTAAAAGAAATAATCTTACACGAATAAATATCGGCCTAAAGTGTTTCTGAAATCCATTTTAGATATCCATTTTAATTTATAGGAACTGACTACTGCAGTGCATATGGTATATTGCAATTACTTTTTTTGTCAAAGCAAGGTGATGCCTTCTGATATATTAGGATAAACTCTTTTTGTTAGATCTGGGCCACTTATGATGGCAGTAGAGCAAATTGTTCCTATTTCTTTCAGTTCAATAGAACCTTTAATCTTTAATTAAACCAAGATTTTTTTCATTCATCTCCTGCTGATGATGAATTTATGTGATTAATCACTAGTTTTCTATTTTTGTCAGCCTTCAGTTTTGACTCAATTCATGTCTTTTTTTTTTCCATCTAATTTTTCTATCTTCATGAAACTGTGCTGGTCTCAGGGTTTTTTTTTGTTTGTTTGTTTTGTTTTGTTTTGTTTTGTTTTGTTTTGCTTTGTTTTGTTTTTTTTTTCCTTCAAAAACCACCTCTATTAGTGCTGAAATGGATTATTATTCAGAATAGCAAAGCCACAAGACAGCAATGGGACATTTTCTAGGTCTGATTCATCCTGGTGTCATAACTTCAGACGTGCTCAGGAGTGATATTTGAAAGATCTACTAGCCAATTCAACAAAGGCTTTTACCAGTCAAAACTGATAAGCCCCTGTGCTGGGCAGACTCCGTTAGTCTCCCTGATGTGAGAAGCACTAACACTTCATTGGCTGATTGGACTGCGGCATGTGAGACTTGCTGGATGAGAGCCCTGGCTAGTGACGGAGTAGGTGGGGCTCCTCAGGGTGGCAGCTATGCATCATCCTATCTTTCATTCTTAATGCAGGGTTTCAGCGTGAGCCAGCTGTACATCACCCTGAAGATTGTGCTTGAGAGATGTTTTTGTCCTGACCTGGTAGTGGGGGCCACGGTTCACAGTGACACAGCACCTCACCTCTCCAAGTGTGGCATGTGGACCAGCAGCATCATAGCACTACCTGAAGCATCTTAGCAAGACTGAACGTAAGGTTTTATCTTGGACCCACTGATTCAAACTCTGCACATTAACATGATCTCCCGGGGAGCTGTGTGTGCACTGAAGTTAGGAAGCCCAGACTGCAGGGCATCCTGGGAAGTCAGGAGGTGCAGATGACTTTGCTCGGTGTTTTTTCCCCAGATCACAGATTAAAGACACCTTGGGATGGGGAGCAGGCAGTGATCATATTCTTTAATCCCTTGGTCACTTTCATGCAGCCTTGCTTACGAATAATTGACATTTCTGCCTGGTGTAATCAGAGGAAGTATAATTTGTTTTTATCTGCAGCAAAAGTAAGCAGAACCACATGAAAAGCCTGCAAACATTTGCCCCTGGGCTTGAAAATCAGTTTGGTTCAGACCCTTTTGTTATACTATCAAGAAAATGAGGTAACCAGTGTGTTATGACTCCTTGGAAGGACTTTTATCATCAATTTGAATTTTATGCTAAATGTATTTATTTAAGGCAAAAAACTATGAGACGTGAAAGCAACACACTGCTATTTTAGCTAATCTCGGGGTGTCAGAGACGAAGGTTTTCTCTTGTATGCTGTACAGTGGGCATCTTATGTGAGAATTCCATCCTATGTCATCACACTCATTCATCCATTTATGTACTGGTCTTTCATTCAATATATACACACAGATCTCTTATATTGCAAGTGGTATAACTAGCCAAAAAGGAAAAACATAATGAAAAGAAAAAATCCTGACTGTCAAAAGTTGTATCTTTCTTCTGTTCTTTGACTCAGTAAGAAAATGTGACATCTTCTTTTCTTTATGACCAATAAAAGTAGGCATGGCTAAATATTTATGTATCTTTTCCCTTAAAAAACGTTAAAAAAAATTATTTAAGCCAGGCATGGTAGTTCAGGCCTGAAATCGCATACTGGGAAACCGAGCCAGGAGGGCTGGGCCTGAGTGACTTACTGAGCCTCTGTCTCAAAATGAAGCCGAAGGAAGGAGAGGAGGCATAGCTCAGTGTGAAAGCCCTAGTTTAGTCCTCCATGCAGGAAGCGAGGCAGGAAGGAGAAGAAAGAATGGGATGTGAAAAGACAAGGGTTAACCACAGACTCCTGTCCAGGTTCTACGGGTTACTTTTATCAGCTTCCTGAGATAAATGGTAGGAGAGAAGCCCCTCTCGGCCCCACACTGTTGCTACACTCTACTGCCCAGCTGCTGGAAACTCGGTCCATACAAGAACGGAAAGGAAAAGCCTTTTTGCCAATACCAACTAATGACCCAGCAAAACAATCAATGTACTAATGATGATCCTGTAACCTCTCAGCTCACGTTATATGAAAGTACCAGGACTACATATAAACTCCAGCCCTAACCTACCTTCCCATGGTTCCCTAATCTCTGTATTTATGCATGTGTGTTCAAAAGCATTATATAGAGCATCAGCAAGGTGGAGTGCACTCTGTCGAACTTTGTAGAAACATGGTAAAGTAAGCAATGTTTCTTCCTCTAGTATTTATGCTAGAAAGTTGCTTCCATTGGAGCTTCACATGTATTACATTGTAGCTCACTATTTCTTTCTCTTTGATTTTATCCCATCAGGTGGGGCTTCTCTCCACTCCTTCCTTCAGGAGATTTCAGTTGATTCTTTATATTATTTCTCATGCAGTCTGGGTTTTGGTCATAACGTCTTTGCTTACCCTTATGTATTAAAGAGTTCCACCTATTGTCTCTCCCAGCAGAGTTAGCGTGTCTGTCTTAATACTTAGATCTTTGATCCATTTTGAGTTTAGTTTAGTGGGTGGTAAAAGACGTGGGTTTAGTTTTAACCTTCAGCATTTGGAAAGCTATTATTTCCAGCATTATTTATTAAAGAAGATTTCTTTTTTTCTAGCAAAGTTGTTTGACCCCTTTGTTAAAGAGAAGACGGCTGTGTGAGTTTGAAGTCATTTCTGTCTCTTCTAACCTAGTCCATTGATACTTGGGTCTCTTTTTTGGCCAGTACCATGTTGCTTTTATCCACAATAATTCTGTAATACGTTTTCATCCAGGGACTGTGATGTTCCCTCGTTTTCCTTTGTTTCCTAGAATTTTTTCTACTATTCCAGGTCTCTTGTTTCAAATGAGTTTTAGGGATGCATTTTTCTAATTCTGTAAGGTATATCAATGGTTCTTTGATTGAGATTGCATTGAATCTGTACAGCAATTTTGGGAGTATGGCCAGTTTTACTATGTTGGTTCTTCCTACCCAAGAACAAGACATATCTTTCCATTTTCTGACATCCTGTTCAGTGTCCTTTTTAGGGTACTATAGTTTTCAATGGATAAGTCTATTGCTTCCTTTGTTAGATCGATTCTTAAGTACCTCATTTTTTCAACACTATTGTGAAAGATGTGGATTCTTTAGTTTCTCTCTCAGTTTGTTGCTTGCATACAGGAAAACTATTGATTTCTGAGGGTTAACTTTGTCTTCAGCTAAGCACCTGAATTTGATTACTAAATCTAGAAGTCTTTTGAAGAGTTTTGGGTAGAATATGTAAAGTATCATGTCATCTACAAATAATGATAATTTCACTTCTTCCTTTCCTATCTTTATTCCATTTATCTTTCTTTCATGTATAATTGCTCTGGCTAATGTTTCCAGAACTGTATTAAATAGGAATGGTGATAGTGGATATCTTTGTCTTGTTCCTGATTTTAGAGAGAAAAATTTCAGTTTTTGATCATTTAGTATGATGTTGACTGTTTGTCAAAGATGACTTTTATCAGAGTGAGGTAAAAAATATCTATTCCAGTTTTCTGTAGAATTTTTATCATGAATGAATTTTAGGTTTTATCAGTTTTTTGCATCTATGGAGATGATCATATGGTTTTTGTAAATATGGTTCTGTAAGTATGATTTATTTCAGTACTTGTTTTGCATATGTTGAACCGTTCTTACATCCCTAGAATGAATTCTAGTTATTCATAGTGTATTATTTTCTGGAGATTTGCTGTATTGTGTTTGAATCTGTCTTCATTAGGGTGATTGGCTTGTAGTTCTGTCTCTCTCAGACTTTTTTTTTTTTTTTTTTTTGGTTGTTCCCTGTTTTGGGCATCAACATCAAGGTAATATTTGTTTCCAGGAATGACTTTGAAATTATTGTTCCCCTTTCTATTCCAATAAAGTGTTTGATTAGTAATGGCATTAGATATTCTTGTAGGATTCAGAGTGAATCCAACAGGACCTGGGCTGTTTTTGTTGGTAAACTTTTAATTATATTTTCAATTGCATTGACTGATATTGGATTATTTAGATATTTTATATCTTCATAATTCAATTTTGATAATTCATGTATATCTAGGAGTCTGTTCATTTTTCTGTTTTCTATTTTATTAGAGTAAATTTTCTCAAAGTATTTAGTAATGATCTTCTGAATTTCCAGAGTATCCGTTGTTATTTTACCCTTTTCATTCTAATTGCATGAATTTGAGCATTTTCTTTGCTTCTTTTCATACAGTTAGCTGAAGATTTTACATTTTACTTAATCTTTCAAAAAATCAACTCTTTGATTCACTTATTTTTTGTATTTTTTTCTTAGTCTGAGTTGCATTAATTTCTGCAGTGATTTTTTTTTATAATTTCCTCCATTTTATCAGCTTTGGGCTTCATTTGTTCTTGTTTGAAGTTCAACATTAAATTTTTATTTGAGCTTATTCTGTTTTCTTTTTGTTGCTATTGCTTTTCTTCTTATGACTGCTTTCATTGTGTCCCACAAGTTCCAGTATGTTGTATTGGCATTATTCTTTCATTGTTGATATTATTTAATGTCTTCTTTAATTTCATCTGTGACACATTGGTTGTTCAGTAGGTATTATTTATTTTCCATGTGTTTATGGAATTTTGTGGGGGTTTTTTGGTCACTGATCTCAAATTTCATTGTAGTGTGGACTGATAATATACATGGGATAATTTCAGTTCTTTTGCTTAAACATGTTCTATGGACTAGTATATGGTCTCTTTTGGAGAAAATTGTTACTCTGTAGATAACAGTTTATTCCATGGATTGAATTGGATCATGAAAAACTATCTTAATCCTTTCCAAGGGTGGCATATCCTACATCTCTGACTAGGTGCTGTCTCCAAAGCACTATCATCTCAGTATTGCCATGCCAGGGAGACTTCCAGCACATGAATCTCTGGGGTACAAATCAAACCATCACAACAATGGCTCAGTAATTTATCTACGGTCACACAAGCAGTTATGGGTGAGACTATACTGTGTATTTATTGGGCATATTTTAAATCATTCTCAAAATTAATACAATGATGCCAAAAGTATATACAACACATTCTTAGCATCAAAAAGCATAACCAATTCAGGCTAAGAGACAAATGTTTAAGTGTCACATTTGCCACATTGTTCTCAGCTCTGTTGCTTTTGTCACAAATGACTGTGTTCAGCACGCCATCCAGATTCGAGGAACTGAACAGGAGCATCTTATTGGTTGGGTTAAGTCTTATGCCCATGTCCCAGCTGGCAGGAATGATGGACATAGAGCCTGTCTCCTGCTAAGGCTCCAGAAGTGGGAGATTATCCCAGATTTAAAAAGAGTTCTAAAATGGGCAGCTAAAATGTCATACATATTCAGGACTTCGTCTCTTGATCCGTGCCAATTGTGTACAAACACACGCGCTGCTGTAATGCCAATATGTAGGTGCTGAATCCGCCAAGCCAGCCACACCTCAGCCATACTGCTTTCCAAGAGGCATTAGCAAGAGCACTGGTGGTGACTTCAAAGGTTTCTAGAACTATAAGAGAGCCGGGTAAAATGACTAAGGACTACCAAGGCCCAGGGCCACGTGCCGAGGGTCTGATCCTCAGCATATGTTATGGTATGCAGGTACATGACACAGAGCCCGATGGCTTTTGCACACTTCTGTTTTAAAGTTCTGGCCAGTCTTCATGCACACCTCCTGTGCTGAAGATTGCAGTCATGGGCAGTCTTCATGACAAGATAGAGGTTTTAAAATGTTAGTGGACAGGAACAAAGAGGGATCCTAAGTAAAATTTCTAGAGAGAACTGGATCCATGTTGTTTTAGAAGATTCATGCAGGGATGAGTTTAATACCCTAGAAGAACAAATATTTCCTGATGATGAAAGATAAAGGAGGCTTTTCAAAAAAAAATGTAAAATGAAGCAAGCCAGTGTGAAAACAGCAATCAATAATCCTCGGGATTAGAACCATATATTGCAAATCCAGAAAATCTCGTAAGGAATTTTCTGAACTCAAGAGATACAAAGAACTGGTTTGGAGCACGAGGTGTTTTTTCTGGCTTTCTCAGGATAGTTGGAGGAAAAAATAATTTATCACTTATCCTCTCCCCAAAAAAGAATATATACTCTTGCCCTCTGGCAACACCCAAAATGCAGCACTTTATTTTAGGAAAATATCATTAGAAATGACTGTTTACTGATATATAACTTCTACTATACTTAAGACTCTTCTAAATCCCCTATTTCTTTCCGGTAACTATTTAAGCAAAGATTGTGGCTATATGCAGTACATAGTAGCTAGGAAACACTGGCAGCTCTTAAGCCTGGACTTCTCTGAATATACTTCCTTACTTTGTGTCACAGTCACTTTCTTGGGGCTGAGACAAAATACCTGATCCCCAATTTAAGGGAGGAGAGGTCAATTTGGCTTAATTTTTAAATCCGTAGTTGCCTGTTTCTAAGACAGAAAAAGGATAGAGGAAAGGCCTGCCTTGGAGAGAGGTTGCTAATGCCATAGTGATCTTGAAACAGAGAAAGCAGAAAGGAGATGGAAAGGGACATAGGTCCCTTGGTCATGCCCTTTCCCACCC